CACCGAGTACCTCGATAGAATAAAGAGTCAGTTCACTGGCTCTTCAAAGACATATGCTACCCAGCTGATAAAGCAGCTGGTGATAGAGTGTTACTCTGAAAATGGTGGCATAAGAGAGCTCACGATGCGTTGTCGAAATTATGACACTATCGTTCAAGCCATATTTCGAGGGGGAGAATAGAAAGACTAGTTAAGAATGATATTCTTCCTCCATTAGAGCTCTCAGATTAAGAACAATGCAGAGAATGCATAAAAGGAAAGTATGTAAAGAAAGATGACAAACGAAGTGCAGGAATTTTACAGATTATTCACACAGACATCTGTGGTCAGTTTTCCTGTAAAGAGTGTGGATGGTTATAATTCGTTCATGACATTCACAGATGATTACTCCTATTATGGCTATATTTATCCAATCAAAGAAAGAAAAGATGTATTAGATAAATTTAAGATATTAAAGATTAAGATAGTCGTCCTCGACTGTGGGGAGTACTACTAATTGGCATACCCTAAAAAGAATAGCATAGTAGCCCAGTATTCTACACCGGACGAACCTCAGCAGAATAGAGTAGCTAAAAGAATCAATCGTACCCTGATGGATATGGTGGGCAGTATGATAAGTTACTCCACCTTACAGTTAAGCCTGTGGATGGAGGCGTTAAAAACCGCCATTCATATTCTCAATAGAGTATCAAGAAAGTCGGTGCCCAAAACACCGTATGAGTTATGGACAGAAAGAGTACCCTCACTAAACCACTTGCGTGTGTGTGGGGGAGCCCTGCTGAGGCTAAAGTATTTAACCCAAACATTGGGAAGTTAGATCCCAAAACAGTAAGTTGCCATTTGTTTGGCTACCCAGAAAAGTCAAAAGGTTTTCGTTTTCTACTGTCCAGAGAGACACACAAAGTTTATAGAAACGAGACACACTGTCTTCCTAGAGAACGAATTGATGAGGGGGAGCATGGTAGCTCAAGAAATTGACCTTGAAGTGAAGCGGGTGTAAGCGCCCACTCCAATGATTCATGAGCCATTTTTCTCACTACCTGCTGTAGCTACACCGACAGTACTAGATACTATGGTGCCAGCACCTATTGTTATTCCACCTGTGGCAACAATGAATGAAAATGAGGAACATGTTCTTCAGGATCCTATAGAACCTATTGCCACACATGAGGGGGAGCAACAACAGCCTCAAACAGAAGATGTCTCAAAAAGTTAGTAAATCAGCTATTCCTGCTGATTATGAAGTGTACAACACTAAAGAATTTCAAATGGAAGATGATTTCACCTCATTTGAATAAGCCATGAAAAGTAATCATTCATCAAAGTGGCTTGAGGCCATGGAAGATGAAATGAAATCAATGAATGCCAATATAGTTTGGGACTTAGAAATAATTCCTAAATGAGCCAAAACAGTAGGCTGTAAATGGGTATACAAAACAAAACTTGACTCTTAAGGGAATATAGAGAGATATAAAGCGTGACTTGTGACAAAAGGCTTTTATGCAAAGAGAAGGGATTGATTACAATGAGACCTTTTCTCCAGTCTTATGTAAAGTTTCCTTCAGAATCATAATGACATTAGTGGCACATTACGATTAAGAATTACATCATATAGATGTAAAGACGGCATTTCTCAACAGAGACTTGTAGGAAAATGTTTACATGGCACAACCGAAAGGTTTTGTCATAGAAGGAAAAGAACGAATGGGATGCCGCCTAAAAAATCCATTTATGGATTAAAACAAGCTTCAAGACAGTGGTACTTGAAGTTTGATCAGACAATAAGGCATTTTGGGTTTAAAGAGAATGTAGAGGACAATTGTGTCTATACAAAGTAAAGATAATGTAATGGACAATTGTGTCAATACAAAGTTTAAGAATGGGAAATTTATCTTCCTTGTCATGTATGTAGATGATATCTTACTTGCTAATAGTGATGTCAGTCTACTACTGAAGACAAAGAAATTTGATATGAAAGATCTTGGTGAAGCCTTGTTCGTTCTAGGGATCGAGATTCATCGAGATAGAAGAAAAGGGGTATAAGGACTGTCACAAAAGACATACATGGAAAAAAATCTTAAAGAAATTCAGTATGCACAAATGTAGTCCCTCACCTGCTCCTATAGTCAAGGGTGACAGATATGGGGATTTTTAATGCCCCAGGAACCAATATGAGCTCAATCAAATGAAAGTGGTTCCATATGCTTCAGCTGTCGGAAGCTTGCAACATGCTCAAGTATGTACGCGCCCTGACTTGGTATTTATTACCAGATTTTACTTGGCAGATTTCAGAGCAATTCTGAAATAGAACACTGAAATTAGTAAAGAAAGTCTTGCATTATTTGCAAGGAACGAAAGGCCTCATGATGACATATAGAAGATCTGATTCACTCCACATGGTGGGATGTTCAGATTCTGATTATGCGAGAGTAAATGCATATCCAGACGTGGATTTTCTATCATCTCGCAAAGAGGAGCGTGTTATGAGGCAACGGGCAGGTGAACTGGCTAAAGAAGTTCATACCCGGTTTGAAGGTGGTTGACGACATCTATAGACCACTAAAGTTATACTGCGATTATAATCTGGCAGTAAATGATGCTCACAATATAAGTCAAGTGGTGCTGCCAAACACATTGACATAGAGTATTATGTTGTGAAAGATAAAGTCCGGGATCAAGTCATAAGTCTTGAGCATATAAGAACAGAAAGGATGCTCGCGGATCCGCTTACAAAAGGCTTACCACCCAATATGTTTAGAGAACATGGTGTTCAAAGAACATGTAGCTAGCGTGGGTTTAAGGAAAAGCCTAAAATTCCTGGACAAAAGAAGGCCCAAAGATAAGTATCTATTTCAGAACAGAGTAGCTGTGTTGTAGCTGTTAAGTCTATCGGCAATGGATCGTGACGATGAGACATTCTCTATGCACTAATCTGTAATGGAATGAACAAAAGTAAATGATATGAAATTGAAAGATAAAATGAGATCAAGGGGAAGAATGTTAGTTGATCTCCACCAATAGGCCCAACGGCCTATTGGGCCCTTGCCTCTGCGCCATGATCGGGGGCGCCCAACCCTAACTGATTGGTGGGCCCCTGTCGCACAGCACATACAAATAGAGAAGGTGGGGATCAGGGCTCGTTTAACGAGGTTCGCCGTGAGCCACCACACCCACCTACAGTAACCCTAAACCGATCTAAAGACCATGCTGCCAGCAACGGGATGTGCCCCAACCACCGCCGTCGCACCTCTGCAGGGCCACCATCGGACCACGACAGTACTACTACGGACTCCACCGAGCCGGAGCTGCCGCGGCAATGGCATCTACCCGCTGTGGTGCATCTATGGAGAAGACAAGGATGAGGTCTTCCCTAGATCTACCGGTTACACACAGAGAGGTACACATCTATGATCCTAACAGTTTTTACATAGAGGCGACATAACCAGGGTTGGGGTTTACCTCTCCAAACTTGATGAGAAGAGTTTTTCACTTGAAGCTTCCACTACTGCCATGCTTATATCACTTTTCTCGAGGGAGGAATACCAGCACCATGCAAAGTCTCTGCCTGAAAAGTATCGTGTCCTCAATGAAGCCAAGAAATGAGTGTTATGCCAGAAATGGATTCAGTTTTCAACTGCGCTGATCATCTTCCGTGGCTTGTCGATTTTTTGGAGTGACTGTTCTGGCTGATTATTTTTCCATGCTCTGTGGTATGATTTAATGATGAAATTCTCTACAGATGAATGTGAAGATGAGTGACTGTTCTCAGTGCTGCTATTTTGTGAATGTGAAGAGAGAGACTGAATCTTCAGTTAAGCTTACTGTTATTTTGCTGAAAATAGAGGTGCTCCACTAGTGTACTATTCTTGATATATTTTATATCAAATAGCTACAGTGACATATAAAAATTTATTCATCGTTGATCTTAGCTGTATGCAAAACATTAAACACCTCAGAGATGGACCCTATCTGTGGGTTGTATGACCCGTTTTTATGTATGTCTGTACGGTAGATTCGTGGCGCTTAGAGACGGAATGCCGTCGGGCCAGAGAACAGCCATGCTCCTCTTCGGCGCGAACGCCGAGAGCTATCCGAGCCAACACTTGAATCAGCGTGATCCATAGCTTCGGCAGCCACCGCCATTGGATCCTTGCCAACTCCGGGGACGTCGGCCACGTCGACGAAGATGGCTTCCTTTCTGCAGGATGCATTTGTCGGCGATGGCCGATGGTAACTCTGCGTGACAGCATAACCACCGTCGTTGTCTATTGTCTGCCTCTGTTCTCAAGAACAAATGTTGCTCTCTTTCTCGTACGATTGAAGTTGGAGGAAGCACGCCTCATGTTCTTCCAAGGCTCACACTTGTTATCAGTGCAAATGATGAACAGCTTGTGCATGTTAACTGAAAGACCGTATCGCACTGCAATTTTGTATTGCACGATTTCGTTTGAAGTTGTAAATCATTTGACTTTTTAAAATGTAACTTGGTATATTTCAGGTGTGTTAATTTTTAGAAATTGTCAGACAACAATCTTACACAATCAACTACTGTAATATACAATTAAAAGAACATCTCATAAGATGCAATTTATAATTTTTTCTATAGCTAAACAATGACAAAATTATGTGCTAGGAAGTGTTTTCAAATACATGGCATAATAATGTATATCTAGATGTATCCGTATTTTTTGCAATTTAACGTAGGAAGGTACTGTAAACTCCTAACTGAAATGGCAATCCGATTCAAGGCCTGCATATGGAAGTGGTGACGGGCTGACGGCCTGAGCTGTGGAAGTCTCGTTCCGTGGATGGTTGGATGCGGCTCGAGGGCTTACAGCTTCGCCATCCAACGGCCGCGATGCAGCACAAACACAAAGCGTGCCGCTGGCCTCGGCTGGCCATCGATTCGCGCCGCGGCTGGCCGCCGCCGCCTCCACCTCGCTAGTGCAGCCGTGCTCGCGCTCGCAGACCGCGGCCGCCGCCGCAGCGTTTGATGTCAGCGAGGCTCCTGCCCCGCGTCACCCCGCGCCTCCCGCACTGCCCGAGACCGAGGCCGGCCCTCGCCCCCGCCCTCGCGGCCTCGCTCGCGCGCGTGCTCGCCGCGCGCGCCACCGACCCGACCTGGTCCCGCTCCCTCGCGGCGCTCCTCCCATCCCCGCTCCCCGACGCGCGCCTCGCCGCCGCCGTCTCCGCGTTCGGGGACGCCGACCCGGACCTCGCGGTCGCGCTCCTCTCCTGGCACCGTGCCCACCACCGCCGCCATGGCGGCGGCGAGCCCACCCCGCTCGCCCACTCGGCGCTGCTCCGCCTCCTCGCCCGCGCCCGCCGCTTTGACGCCGCGCTCCGGTCTATCTCCCTCGCGGGGGACGCGCCCTCACGCGGGAGCCTCGGCGCGCTCGCCGCCGCCTACGCGGACGCCGGGATGGAAGCGAAGGCCGCCGAGGCGTGCGCGCGCGCCAGGGACCTGCACGGCGCGCTCCCCGACGCGCCGCACTGCAACCGCCTGCTCAGGCTCCTCGTGGAGCGCCGCCGGTGGGAGTGCGCCCGGAGGCTGTACGACGAGATGCTCGCCGGGGACCGGGAGGGCGGCGCGGATAACTACAGCACCTGCGTCATGGTCCGCGGGCTGTGCCTGGAAGGGCGGGTGGAGGAGGGGAGGCGCCACATTGAGGCCAGGTGGGGAGAAGGGTGCGTCCCGGACGCCGTGTTCTACAACGTGCTGATCGACGGGTACTGCCGGCGCGGGGACGTCGGCAGGGGGTTGCTGCTGCTGGGCGAGATGGAGACGAAGGGGATCATGCCAACCGTGGTGACATTTGGTGCTATCATTCACTGGCTCGGGAGGAAAGGCGATTTGGTGAAGATTGAGAGCTTGCTAGAGGAGATGAGGGCCAGAGGGCTGTCCCCCAATGTGCAGATTTACAACACTGTGATTTATGCATTGTGCAGATGCCGGTTGGCGTCACAGGCATTGGCTGTTCTGAACCAAATGGTTGCAAGCAGGTTTGACCCTGATGTCGTAACGTTCAATACGTTGATAGCAGCATTTTGCCGGGAAGGGGATGTTCAAGAGGCTCTGAAACTTTTGAGGGAGGCCATTAGGAGGGAGTTGGAACCGAATCAGTTAAGCTATACTCCTTTGATTCATGGCTTCTGCGTCAGAGGAGAGGTGATGGTTGCATCAGATTTGCTTGTGGAAATGATTGGAAGAGGGCATACTCTGGACTTAGTTACGCATGGAGCATTAATTCATGGCCTCGTTGTTTCTGGGCGGGTTAATGAGGCTTTGATTGTCCGGGAGAAGATGACAGAGAGACACGTGATGCCTGATGCGGGCATATATAATGTGCTGATTAGTGGTCTATGCAAGAAACGGATGCTTTCTGCAGCTAAGAACCTTCTTGAAGAGATGCTTGAGCAAAAAGTCCAGCCTGATAAATTTGTATATACTACTCCGATTGACGGATTCATTAGGAGTGACAAACTCAGTGATGCAAGGAGAATATTCGAGTTCATGGAAGAAAAAGGTGGCTGCCCTGATATTGTTGCCTACAATACTATGATAAAAGGATATTGTAAGTTTGGAATGATGAATGAGGCGGTTATGTGCATGAGCAGCATGGGAAAGGTTGGGTGTATCCCAGATGAGTTTACATATTCTACACTTATCGATGGCTACGCTAAAAAAGGCGACATAAAAGCAGCTTTTAGGTTTTTATGTGATATGATGAAGCGAAGATGCAAGCCAAATGTTGTTACATACGCATCACTAATATGTGGGTACTGCAACATCGGTGACACAGACAGTGCAGAAGGTTTATTTGCAAGTATGCAGTCTGAGGGTCTATTTCCCAATGTTGTACACTACACAGTTCTAATTGGCTGTCTCTTTAAGAAAGATAAAGTAATCCAAGCTGCAGCGTACTTTGAGCATATGCTGCTTAACCATTGCTCTCCGAATGATGCTACAATGCATTATTTAGTTAATGGGCTCACAAACTATAGGTATCGTATGATCAACTCAAACTGCAGTGATATTAATCAGGCTCACAAGAAGAGTGCCCTTCTAGATGTATTCAAGGGATTGATTTCTGATGGATTGGACCCAAGGATTTCGGCATACAATGCTATAATGTTCAGCTTGTGTCGACATAATATGCTTGGGACGGCAATGGACCTGAAAGATAAGATGTCTAACAAAGGCTGCTTGCCAGACCCTATAACTTTCCTTTCACTTCTTTATGGATTTTCTTCTGTTGGAAAATCAGGGAAATGGAGGAATGCCTTACCTAATGAACTTCAGCAGGATGAATTTGAGATGATCTGCAAGCGCCTGGCGTTATTCAATCAGCATGTAATTAGTGCAGTTAGAGATGAAGTCTCTAAGGTTTTACAGCTATATGCTGAGGAGTTTCAGCTCCTACAACAACCAGAGCAGAGATTTGCTGGTTCTTGACTCATTGTCATGGTTTACCTAGCTCTTGGGATCAGGGTGCAACTATAATTTGAATTTTGGCTTCAGCAACTGGATACCAAGCAGAATAGCATGATTTAAAATGCCAAGCAAACTTGCTGACAGAGTGTTTCCTCAAGCACTGAATTTCATGACTGACAGTGCAATTAGCTAGACAAAATCTTCGCTGGAGATCGTCCTTGAAGGTAGCGATCACAATGTGCATAGTTTGTCTTTTTGAGAACTTTTACAATGCATTTTACAACTTCGTTGTTTATTGCCAAAATGCTCTGAACTCTGGTAATGTTTGCCAAACATTTTGTGACAAATGAACCATAGTAAATTGCAGCATTTTTTTCATCCTCTATGAGACTGACTATAATTCATCATTTCAGCTTCGCTGTGCATAGCACTATATTTTGGATTGCCTATAATCCACCAACCCATCAGCATTGCTGCAGTACAGTGCAAGCAGCAGCGGAGCATCATCAGGGTCAACACAGGCCATGGCTGTCCCTGCATATGAGTAATTTGGTGAGGAAACTAGCAACTTTAAAGCTTTTTTTTTAATGCAAACTTTAAATCTTTTTGTTGGTGACTAAACTACAAAGTGACCATGTCTAACTTGGCTGCTGCATCATTGGCCTCTCGCCTTGTCTGAGATTTAAAGCGAGCTCTACCAGCCTTTATCTGAGATTTAAAGCAAGCTCTGCCACTGAATGCAAGTAGAGAAATGCCACATATGGACATCGTAGTGCCTACAAGATTTAGAGGTGTCTGAGGAACCCAATGCTACAGAGACTAAAGTTGGCTTTTTTTAGCTTGCCATAACTTCTCAACATATTTTCCTAATCGATTAAAATCTTTATATATATTTTTTCTCTTGTATCTGATCGTTGCCTTGTTGCTAAACCCATTTCTCAAGGGAAATCAGTTAACCTTTTTTTTTTAAAAAAAAAAAACATCCTTTCAATGACGTCACATGCATTGAGTGCGAAGTCACATAAGGATCTGTCATGAGGGAATTTTGGTTGCAAGTGTTAAAGCTCAAGAACACTGAAATACCTTGATGAACAAAACCTGAGCAACTATACTGCCCTGCATTTGATTCCTGCTTATTTTTCCTCTTTATATTAGAAGGTGCACTAACTCTTGGAATTTTTTTTTCAGGTAAGCAAATTAAATCAGCCGCTTCGCAGTAAGAACAACACACAGCAGCACTGTTGAACTTTCCCCACCTGTCATGTAACATTAGCCAAAATATAAGATATTTGCATCTGCATATACTTCTGTACATAGTTGCTGACCATACCATACTGAGCTACTGACCGTGTTAGCACAAGAGGCCGCATGGCAAAAACTGCTCCACGTTTTATCATCCATCGCTAGTAGTAGGAGCGATGTATCCCAAATATTCTGTTCATTTGGCACAAACCTGTCTATTGGAGGCAAAAGGAACCTGACAAAATCAAGGCGTTTAAATACCTAAATGCAATTCTGATGTTTTCTTCATTACTGTCAACTTGAATCCTTATTACCGCTGATGTAAGCATGTGCAATGGAATATTTGATGTCTATTTGTCTATATGCTGTGCAGTGTATTTTTTTTTCCGGGATTACTCATGTGTGCAGATGTGCGCATCATTATTATTATTTCCAGCAAGATAGAAATATTTTCATTTGTAATTTATTTTCTCTTGAGAATAAAATCAGACATCCATTGTATTGGTTCTGTACCCTGACCTGAAGATAATGTGAGTACTAAAGTGTTCTGAACAGTATGGCTTCCATGGCCATGGATATGCACATGCCAAGCAGTTTTGACTTTTGCGTCTTTGTGCTTTGTTGTTGTCGATTGACCAAGATACGTCATACGATACGACGACCTTGCATTACAGTACCGGATGAGGAGGATGCTCCGCGCGGTGACTTTGGCGTCGGATTTTATTGGGCCGTGCCGTGGAAATGGACTCTGCTGCGCGCGGCCCAGAACTGGGAGCAGAGTCAACAGTTGGAGGCGGCCTTCAATTCACCCAGTTTTTTTTTTCTCTCTCAACAGTTCAGTGGTCAATGATCCTCGTCGCGCGACGACGCCAGCTCGCACACAAGTTTGACCTCTGCTACTGTGCTGCATGCAGCCACACGTGTAGGGGTTGGTGACTTGGTGGTGCCCTTGTCGTCCCCCCGTACAATGCAAGTGTGAGGCTAGCTGAGGGCTGCCCTTGCCTGCAGTGCTGCTGCACACGATTGCACCGTGCCACCATGCACGACGACTGACGACTGTGCGTGCGTACACTGCGTACACAGAGAGGCCAGTAGACGACCGTGGACCGAGGCACGTAGGGCCAAAAAACAGCATGCATGGCCGCATGGGAAACGAACTCGAGTCGTGCTCGTGCGCGCGTCGTACTGACGTCTCCCGCGCCCCACATCCGACTACGCACCGTTTGGATCCCGGCCAAGTACGTCAACCATTGCATGCAGACTGCAGAGTGCACGCCTCGCCGGATCGAGATCGATGCATGGCGAGCTCGAACGCATTTACGAGGACGACGCACGGATCGATGCATGCATGGTGAGCTCGAGCTCTCTCGGCACCAACAACCACGGCAGCACCCCAAAGTCCAAACCAGATCATATCAGACCACGGTTTTGGTTTGCAAGTGTGCATGCAACCAAGCAGGTTCAGTTCAGGCGCACACGACGACGTTCCACGGCACTCGACACACTATATATAGACTGCCATTACCTACACACTGCCAGCACCCACCACAGCACACACTGCCAGGTGCCAGCACTCTCTCACACAAGTCGATCGCATCGATCACATGTGACAAGTGCCGCTTCACTACTCACAAGTCACAAGTGCTAGCTATAGGTATATATAGCTAGTAGTTCACTCTCGAGAGCGAGGTAGCTAGCTAGCTAGCTAGCAATGGACGTGCAGGTGCAGCGGAGCTTCGTGATACTCGCGCCGGCGTCGGCGCCATCGACGGAGGTGCCGCTGACGGTGTTCGACCTCGTGGCGCCCACCTACCACGTCACCGTGCTGTTCGCCTACGCCGCGCCCAACCCCACCAACGCGGCGCTCCTCGACGCGCTCGCCGCCACGCTCCCGCGCTTCCCGCTCCTCACCGCGCGCCTCGTCGTCGCCGACGACGACCGCCGCCGCCCGTTCTTCGTCACGGGGAGGGGCGGCGCGGGCGCGCTCGTGGTCGAGGCCACGGTGGCGTCGTCCGCGCTCGCCGACCACCTCCCGCTCGCGCCCGCGCCGGAGCTCGCGCGCCTGCACGTGCCGGTCGGCGGTGGAGATGGCGAGGCGCCGCCGCCGCACCTGCTCATGCTCCAGATCAACCGGTTCACGTGCGGGGGCCTTGTCATCGCTTCGTCCGCGCACCACCAGGCTGCCGACGGATACTCCATGTCCACCTTCTTCCACGCGTGGGCCGACGCCGTCCGCGCCAACAACAACAACGGCGTTACTAAGCCACCACTCGACGACGTCGTCGTCGGCGGTGTACTACCACCACCGGCGCCGTACGGTCCGAGCGCCATCGCGCCGCGCCGCCCTCCGCGGTGCGAGTTCGAGCACCGCGGCACCGAGTTCCTGCGCGCCGAGGACGCCGCCGCGGGCAGGCCGGCGCCGCACCGCGTGGACCCTTCCGAGATCGCCAACGTGCTGCTACACCTTCCGAGCGAGTTCGTGGCGGGGCTCAAGGAGTCCGCCGCCACCGCCGCCGCGCCGCAGATGATGATGAGCCGGCCGTACACGACCTTCGAGGCCGTGTCCGCGCACCTGTGGCGGAAGATCACGGTGGCGCGCGGCCGGGGCGTGGGCGACGACGACGCGTCGCGGACGGCGCTCAACGCCGCGGTGAACGGCCGCGCGCGCCTAGGCGCCGACGCCGTGGCGCGGGGCTTCTTCGGCAACGTGGTCCTCTCACGGCGAGCGCGGCCGCCAGCGCCGGGGACCTGGCACGGGGCACGCTCGCCGACGCCGCGGCGCTGGTCCGCGCGGCCGTGCGCGCGCGCGACCGCCAGTACTTCCAGTCGTTCATCGACTTCGGGGAGCTGCACGGCGGCGAGGAGCTGGAGCCCACGGTCGGGGACGACGACAACGTGCTGCTGCCGGACGTCGCGTCCGACAGCTGGCTCCACCTGGAGCTGCACCGCCTGGACTTTGGGTGCGGCGGACGGCTCGCCGGGATCCTGCCGGCCAAGGTCCCGCTCGACGGGCGGTGGTGCTGATACCCAGCCTCCGGAAAGGTGGTGGGGTCGACGTGTTCGTGGCGCTCTGGGAGAAGCATGCAAAGGAGCTTAGGAATATTGTTTACACCATGGACTAGCTAGAAAACAAATCCACGACAGCAAACAGTGTGACGAATACATACAAAGAGTCCGGACATACGTGGCATGCACGGGAGAAGGAATAAAAAGTTAATAAAGTTTTCCTTTGAGAAATTCATGCTCCCTTCCCCTACGTGTTGCAAAGTATAGTTCATTTTAGGTTTTTGTGTCAAGTAGTCAAACTTCGTTCTCTGCGTTTAACCAGATTTATAGAAGAATGAAAGAAGATCAAATTAGTGTCATTGAATTTTTCATAAAATATATTCTGATAGATCATTTATTTGAACTTTGTAGTGTCATTATATTTTTCCTAAAACTTGATTTAAATTAGATAAATTTGACTTATAATAAACTAAAATAAACTATAATATAAAACAAAGGGAGTAGAACCTAAATCCTCTATGACTAAGAGTAGCAATGCAGTTAGACCACAAACACTTCTCTTGCTTATCCACACGACACTTCTGGAGAAAAATCAAATTTTGCCTAGCGCGCCAACTTACATCCGAGAGAACAAGACCCGATTAAGGCAAAGCAGTTAGACCAGTCTCACATAGTTTTGTTGGAAGTGAATATGCTGACATGTCATTATATTGATGAATATATATTCTAAAAGTTTCATATATGAGTAAAGAGTTTCACGGGGACAAAAAAAA